TTCTTTCTTCTCCAGAAAACAACCAGATTCTGTTATTAACAATTCACAGAGTCTAGGAAAAGGCAAAGAGAAATATGTCCCAGCCAAACTGCATTCACGAAATTCAAGTCTCTTAAATCCTGTCCAATGGCATTAGAACCGTCTGGGATTCTTTTCCAGAAACATAAGTTTTACTTTTCTGTCTCACTCTCTTGGCTTTGAAATCAGCCTGCTATATTAAGAGTTCACTTGGGAAGGAGAGTTAGTTTCGCTTTTGAGGCAAACTGATAAGATAGGCTCGCCGCTGCTTTTCTTCTTTCAGTCAAATATTTTCATTCTTATTTTCAGCTTAATAGGGCTGTTTCATAAATCAAAGGCTTCAACTTACTTAATTGTTATATATTTTAAGCTTATATTGGTTGTTCTCCTCTCCCCAATAAAGGTTTACTCACGGCTCCGTGCCAAATATGGCGCCCGCTCCGATCCGTGCTGGGTGATTTCTTCAGAGGGAAGAAGTCCGGGTTTGCATCCCTTTCTTCTCCTTCTGCTGCTCACCATCTGCTTCAGAGAGACTTCTCCTAGACTCTCCTTCGATCCCCATTTCAAAAAGAGGATCCCAGACCAGACGGTTCCAGTTTTTCCAGAGAGAGCTCTTCTCTGGTGTTACTGGCAGCACCGCAACAAAGCCCCGCCTCTCCCTGCTAGTTTGTACATGTAGCACACCGGTGTTGCATGATCCATTTCCTTGCTTCCCTGGCCAGTGACCCACTCAGCTGTCAGAGCACCCTCCTGTCCTCCTCATCTTTGGCTGTATGACCAATCCCTGTTCAGGAGCACGGGTTTGCTTGTCCTGCCTGCATATCTGAGTAGGCAGCCAAGGAAGCAGGGCAGGGAAGCCCCTGTTTTCTGGTAAAGTTGTAGTAACCTAACATAAATATCAAGTGCATTATGTATATAAAATTGCTGCTCCTTCCAACTTAACTCAATTGGATTTTTAAGCTGGCTAACCTGTTAATCAATTCCTGCTATTTTTTTGTCTTTCCAAATGAATGCAAGTCTTGTTGGAGAATGAGTCTGGAAAGATTCCTTAGCAAGAAGAAGAACTACCAGTTAGAAATAGCTCAGAGGTGTAGTCATATTCGTATGTTGCAACAAAATCAACAAAGATCCTTGTAGCACCTTAAGACTGGAAACATTTCATTTAGCAAACGCTTTTGTAGACTGTTGCCCATGTCTTCAAATACTGTGGGCTGCAATCCACAAACGTTTATAACCAGAAAAAATGTGTTGGTTTTAGCCATGTGCTGTCAAATCTATTCTGACTTACGATGGCCATTTTCAAGGTTTTTCAGGTAAAGAGTACTCAGAAGTGGTTTACCATTTCTGTCTTCTGGGAGTACCCTGGGTCTGTGTAGCTTGTACAAAGCCACACAGCCTAGCTTTACTTCCAGGAGGCACAGTGGGAAATCAAACTCCCAACTTCTGGCTCTGCAACCAGATACCTAAACAACTGAAATATCCAGCCAGATATCTTTAAAATGACACAAGATCTGTTATCAGTGAGAACTGGAATAGGTTTGAAGTGCTTCACCATCCATTACACTGCAGGTGACTAATGATGGATGTGGTAGTACCTAATATAATTACGCAAACCCACAGAATCATAGAAGCATAGAAAAGTGAAGTTGGAAAGGGCCTACAAGGCCATCAAGTCCAACCCCCTGCTCAGTGCAGGAATACAATCAAAGCATATCTGCCAGGTTATTATCTAAGTTTTTCTTGAATGCCTCTAGTATTGGAGCACTCACCAACTCCTGAGGTAACTGGTTCCACTGTTGTACTGCTCTAACAGTTAGTTTTTCCTGATATTCAACTGAAATCTGGCTTCCTTTAACTTGAGCCCATTGTTGCATGTCCTGCACTCTGGGATGATCGAGAACAGATCCTGCCCGTCCTCTATATGACAGCTTTTTAAATATTTGAAAAGTGCTATCATATCACTCCTCAGTCTTCTTTTCTCAAGGCTAAACATGCCCAATTCTTTCAGACTTTCCTCATAAGGCTTGGTTTCCAGCCCCCTGATCATCCTTGTTGCCCTCCTCTGAACTTGTTCCAATTTGTTAGCATCCTTCTTGAAGTATGTTGTCCAGAATTGGACACAGTACTCAAGGTGAGGCCTAACCAATGCTGAATAGAGGGGGAATAGCACCTCGTAGAATTTGAAAACAATACTTCTATTAATGCAGCCCAAAATACCATTTGCCTTTTTGTAGCCACATCACACTGTTGGCTCATATTTAGCTTGTGATCTATGACAATTCCAAGATCCTTCTCGCCCGTTGTTTTGCTGAGCCGGGTATCCCCTATCTTGTAACTGTGCGATTGCTTTCTTTT